CGTTTTTTTATGGAACCCAAGAACCAAATAAACTGCGGACGATCGCAATATTAATGAAAAAAAAAATGCTCAGACGCAAGGCAATAACGGGCTATTGGTTGGAGGGGGGGGAGGGGAGGGGGCTATTTTGGCTCTTAATTTCATGTACATGATATGAAATTTTCATTCGTAAATTGACTTTATGGAGCAATATCTCGGTGTCCGTGAGAGAGACGGTGTAAGGACATGCTTGTCTGTTATGAATACAAGTAAGTTTATTTACATACGTTCTCTCTTTCTCTCTCTCTCTCTCTCGCTTTCGCTCTCGCCCTCGCTCTCTTTCTCTATATAAATATGTGTGTGTGTGTGTGTGTGTGTGTGTGTGTGTGTGTGTGTGTGTGTGTGTGTGTGTGTGTTGTGTGTGTGTGTGTGTGTGTGTTGTGTGTGTGTGTGTGCGTGTGCGTGTGCGTGTGCGTGTGCGTGTGCGTGTGCGTGTGCGTGTGCGTACACAAATCCCTCTCCCTTTCCCTCTTCCATACTCCCTCAACCACGGAGCACCCCCGCATCCCTCCATCCCTCCCTGCGTCTCCCTCCCCTCTCCCTGACGCCCAAGGGTTCCGGGTGTATAATCACGGCGCTTCTGGCCCAGGGATCTCCAAAGGACTCCCCTGCCACGCCGCATTCACGCATCCGCACGCCCGCCGCCGCCTCCGAAATCGAGACTAATTGCAACGGCATCGCGGCTCAAGTTTCGGCATCCGCAGGTACCCCGAGATCCATTTCATCTCGGTTTGCTCCCGGGTGATTCCTACTAGTCTCTCTCTTTCTCTCTCTGTCTCTCTTCTCTCTCTCTCCCTCCCCCCCCCCTCTCTCTCTCTATTTTCTCCTTCACCCCCCCTCTCTCTCTCTCTTCTCCCTCTCCCTCCCCCCCTCTCTCTCTCTCTTCCTCTCCTCTCTCCTCTCTCCCTCTCTCTCTCTCTCTCTCTCTCTCTCTCTCTCTGTCTCTGTCTCTCTCTCCCCCCTCTCTCGCTCTCCCATCTGTCGACGGCCCTTCCTCACCCTCCTGCCGTGGGGGATCCCGTCCACCCGTTTTCAAGGTAGGATGATTGCCCTCCCCTGTGGGCTTGTCATCCGGCTCTCGTACCGGAGACCCAATCTGCCTTTTTCCCCGTTTAGCGCAGTGTCCCCTACGATGCCGAAACGCGCGTGCCTCGGAGGTTTGTTTACCCGCACGACAGGGTTTTTTTGTTTTGTTTTGTGGACCAGCGTAATAGCTTTATCACCATTCTTATTATCATCATTTTTATTACTATGGTTGTTATTACTGATATTATTCTCATTCCTATTTTTCATGTTTCGTCATCATCATTATCACCATCATCATCATCATCCTTTATATAACCATCGCTTCAACATTCAAACCCCTGAAGAATAAACATTACGCGAGACATTGCCGAGCCCAGCCGTCCATGAAACACCAATTAGGTCGGATATCAGCTTCCCGGCACAACTCTATCGGCAATGTTGTTCTCAACTTGCAAATGAGAGAGCGTCGGGCGGCGGAGAGCATCGCGCCGCAGCCGACCACGGGGACTTTGGCCAAGTTACTGGAAAAGTGTCTCGAAAAGTGAGGGTCTGCGTGATGTCGGCGGCTGCTGCGCCTTCAGGTTCTCACTGTATCTGGGGATTGGGGTTTAGGGCCTGGGGCTGGGGCTTTAGGGCTAGGGCTTGAAGGGGGGGCTTGGGGCTTGAAATTTAGGGTTTGGGGCTTGTGGCTTGAAATTTAGGGCTTTAGGCTTTTTGAAATTAGGCTTTGGGCTTGGGGCTTGAAATTTAGGGCTTGGGGTTTGAGGCTTGAGGCTCAGGATGGAGGGGGATCTGCAACCCGGAGATGAATGGTGGGGAAAAAAAGGAAAATGAAATCCCGGATTACATATCTGCAATCTGAAAGAATTTTTTTTTCTTCTGATTTTCAGTCTGGGATGCGTCACTGCCTTATCTTTCAATTACTGCATATTCAGAAACTTTGACACTTTTCCAATCTTTGGGTATTCGGCTGTGACTAATATCATAATCTAGCAGGTCTAATACATCTTTTATCGTATACATTATAGATAAGGAAACGGTTTGGATCAAAATGACAACACTGACACGTTCGCCGTATTTTCGGGTTTGTATCCGTACTGCCTCCGAAACAAAAATAACTTCCTTTAAAACCCAAAAAGTACAAAAAAAAAAAAAAATCAAAACCAAAAATAACCTAAACCACCAATAGTGTCCCTAAACCCCCCCCGCCAAACCAAGCCACAAGCCCCCCCCCAAGCAAACCAACCACCCCCCCCCGCCAAGCCAACCCACCCCCCCCCCCCCCCAAGTCAAGCCATCCCCCCCCCCCCCACCGGTCGCCACGTAATTCAATCACACTCTTTCGTCGCTTCTCCTAACCGACTTCTTGGGCGGGGCGAGTTCTTAATTCCGAGCTCTCTCCGCCTCGTCTTTTCTTTTTTTTCTTCTTCTTCAACCTTACGCCGTCTGCTTCGGTTGTTTGTTGTTTTTTTGTTGTTGCATATTTTTTTTTCTTTTTCTTCTTTTTCGTATTTATCTTCTACATTTCCCTCTTTTTTCTCTTCTTTCTCCGTCTCTGTTCTTCTGCAGAGTTCATTCCCTTCTTATTTTCATTCTATGTCGTTTTGCTTTTCAATTTCCAACTTTTCCGTCCTCTTCTTCACTGTAATCCCGAATCTCGAGCTTTCTTCCTTCTTCCTTCGTCCCTTCTCCGCCCCCTCCCCCTATCCAGTCCTCCCTCTTTCCTCCCCTCCCCTGCCATCCTCCCCTCTCCTCTCATATCCTCCCCTCCTCTCTCTCCTCCCCTCCTTTCCCTTCCCTCTCTCCTTTCCCTCCCCTCTTCTCTCTCCTCTCCTTCCCCCTCCCTCACCTCTCTCTCCTTTCCCCTTCCTCTCTCCTCCCTCCCCTCTCCTCTCTCCCTCCTCTCTCTCCTCTCCTTTTCCCTCCCCAGCCCTTCCCTCTCCTCCCCTCTCCTTTCCCCTCCCCTCCCTCTCTCCCTCTCCCCCTTCCCCTCCTCTCACCTCCCTCTCCTTTCCCTTCCCTCCCCTCCCTTCACACACACCCATATACCATAACCTCTGCCTCCGCGCTCTCAAAGTAACAACATTTTCTCTGATGTAAAACACTCGTTTCTGGACTGACACACATACATATCATTTGCTTGGATTTATTATCTATTTCTCTGGCCCTCGCCGCGCTCGATGGCACAAAGAGCGCTCTGACTGAAGACGCGTGGCTTTATTCTTGCCATGTGTATCTGTCTGTCTCTCTGTCTTCTGTCATTTCTTTCTCTTTCTCTTTTCTATTTTATTCCCCCTGTTTCCTTTGTTTTCTTTCTCTCTTTTTTTAAACTTTCTTTCTCTTTCCTATTTTATTCTCCCTGTTTCCTTTTTCCTTTGCTTTCTTTCTCTTTTTTGAAACTCTCTTTCTCTTTCTCTCTCTATCCTAGCGCTTCCTTTGTTGATGTATCTTTTTCAGTTTCTTATTTCCCCTTTATTTTACGCCACCTTCGGCCTTTCATATTCTTTCACCTTCCTGTATCTGTCCTCTTCCCTCTCTCCCACACTTGCTTTGATTCTTTTTTTGTTTCTTTTTATTGTTTTTGTTTTTCCTTCCGTTCTAGTCCCCATCTTTCATTCCATTATGTCAACTCTTTCCACTTGAAAAAATAGCAGGGGGTCAGAGAGCGTTTGTTTTGAGAGTGCAAGGGGGCCGTTCTCCGACACGCACGCCCTGCGCCCCGACGCCCTCCACCTTCCTTCCACTTGCCTTCACTCCTCTATTCGCCTGCCCTCCACTCCCGTCTTCCCCTCCACTCCCTTCTCTTTGTCTCCACTCCCGCTTCCACTCCCCTTCTCTTTGTCTCCACTCCCGCTTCCACTCCTCTTCTCTTTGTCTCCACTCCCCTTCTCTTTGTCTCCACTCCCGCTTCCACTTATTTACACTCCTCCTGCTTATTCATAACTTCTAAGAAATTCCCGGAGGAGAAAGAGAAGGGGCAAGAAGGGAGGAAAGAGAGGAAGAGGGAAAAACGGAGGAAAAGAAACGGAGCGAACAGGTACCAACCAGTGCCTCCACACGCAGATCCCCGCCAGCTTATCCCAGCGCCTCAAGAAACGGGCCTGTCTGGCTTCCGCGAGGGGAGGCAAGGCAACGGAAGGAAGGGGGAAGCACCCAAGAGGGAGGCTACAATCACATCCCCTCCCCTGTCGGTTCCTCACCCCCCCCCTCCCTCCACCCGTCTCCGCCCATCGCTGTGATGATCCGTCTACCCTCGCTCCTATCCTTATATCCAGCCTACGCCTCAGGGAGGGGGGGGGGGGGGGGGGGGGAGTGATGAGAAGCTTTGGCGAGGAGCCAGTGCCACATACCTCACCAGAGGCCCTGCATGCTTTTTTTCAAGACATGCGCACGCGCGCGCACTCAGAGACTGGGGAGAGCGGAAGGGAAGGGGAGGAAGACAAGAGGTGGCAAGGAGAGAGGGGAGGAAAAGTGATTGGGAGAAACATGATTGTGGAAAAACATCTATGCCATTTCATATAAAAATGATGATGGCCATGATGAAAAAGAGGAAGGGAAGGGCGAGGAGGAGAAGGAAGAGGCAAAAGAGCTAAAGGAAGGAGACGAAGGAAAAAAAACAAAAGACGGAAGGAGGGAGAGAAAACACACATGACATAAGATCGAATAAAAAAATACCAACAAAAATCTCAAAATGAATCCTAAATCCCCCTCTCCCTTTCCCCTTCCATCCCCAACTCTTCCACGAACTTTGAGCGGCATCTCCACTTTTTTTTTTAAACATACACGCATATTCTTCTCTCCCCCAATAATCACCAGGACAGCAGCATCCACAAGAGCGGCTTAGCACCCAGCTTACACCAAGCCTCACCAAGGGAACCCTCGCTTATTGCTCGCCGCGTCTCCTCTCTCTCGTGGACGCAGGAATTAGGCAGAGACTAAAGCTTTGGGAACCGGGGGAGGGGGGCAGGGAGGCAGGGGATATTGGTGGGAAGGGGTATGGGAGTACTGGAGCCAGCGGGGTATGGGGTTATTGGGGGCAGGGGTATGGGGATACTGAAGGCAGAGGGGCATGGCGATACTGGGCAGAGGGGTATGGGAATACTAGTGGCAGGGGGTATGGGGTTATTGGGGACGGAGGAATATGGGGGTGACAGGGGGTATGGGGATACTGGGGCAGGGACGGGGACAGGGGGGAGGAGGTTATAGAGGGATGGTGAGGGCGCAGGGAGGGGAGAGGGGAGGCAGGATGCAAGACAGGAGCATCGACTTATAAGGCAGGATCAAGAAGAGGGACGTCAAAGCATCCGGGGATGAGGAAGGAGGAGATGGAAGAAAAGGGAAGAAGGAAAGAAAGAAGAACAGAAAGGCTAGAAGGAGAAAGGGAATGGGCAAGGTAGAGGGGGAGGAGGGAGGGAGGGAGAGGGAGAGGGAGGAGAAGGAGAGGGAGGGAGAGAGAGAGGGAGAGGAGAGAGAGAGAGAGAGGAGAGAGAGAGAGAGAGAGAGAGAGAGAGAAGAGAGAGAGAGAGAAGAGAGAGAAGGAGAGAGAGAAAGAAGAGAGAGGAGAGAGAATGAGAGAGAAATAGATAGATATAAATAGATACAGATAGATATAGATAGATAGATAGATAGAGAAAGAGAAAGAAAGAAAGGGGATTAAATAAAACGCGAAAATCTAAGAGAGACAGATAAAGAGAGACAGAGAGACGCATATTAGACGGCTTTGACCTATCAGCAAAAGGCCGTTGAAGTAAACATCATCACCCTAACATCAGCACACCAATAAAAAAAAATCAAAGTAATCAAGCTTAATCAGAAAAAACGTAATCAAAAATTCACCATAATTATTGCCTTATAAAGGTAGGAGAGAGGGGGAGGTGGGGGGGGGGGTTATAATCATTACCTCCCTGTCGAAGTGAGGAAACATAACATAGCATTCATTAACCTCCTAATAGCTAGCTGAAACTTTTATGGTGCTGATAACGGTGATGGAGAAGGTGGAATAGGTGGTGGTGGAATAGGAGGTGGAGGAGGAGGAGAGGAGGTGTGAGAAGGAGGTGGTGGAGGAGAAGGTGGTGGAGGAGGAGGAGGAGAGAGGAGGTGGAGGAGGAGAGGTGGTGGAGAGGAGTGGTGGAGAGGAGGTGGTGGAGGAGAAGGTGGTGGAGGAGGAGAGAGAGGTAGAAAGAGGAAGTGGCGGTGGAGGGGGTGGAGGAGGAGGAAGAGGAGGAGGTGCAGCATATATAAGAGGAAGAGGAGGTGGTAAGCGGAGAAGAAAAAAAAAAAAAAAACAGTAGGCATAGAGAAATACACAAAACTAAAACAAATACACATACCGGCAACAGGGGGGAAAAAAAGTTACTTCACACACAACCCCCATCCCCATAGTTACCAGCGAAGCCAACCCAAAACCGAAATAAATAGCCCCGCCAACAGCAAATCATAAAGAAGCCAAAAAGAGGCTGGGGGGGGGGATGACTTTTCAATTAACTCGTAAAAAAGGGACAAAAAACAGAGCGAAATAAATCTGCCATTAATACCCCGGATCGCACACATCAAATGGGTCATTGGAGGCCTATAAAGTAAAACACACGGGGCTGCGAACATGAGTGCGTGAGAATAACACTCCGTAATTACACGTTTTCGCCTTCCCTTCCCTCCCTCCCTCTCCCTTTCTCCCTCATGCTGCCCCTCCTCCATCCCTCTGCCCCGTTCTCCCTACCTCAATCTTAACTCAGTCGTCCATCTCCCTCTTCCCTTCCCCAGTCCCCTCCGCCTTCACCTTCCATTTCCCACTCCCTCCCCACTCTCCCTTCCTCTTCCATCCACCCCTCCTCCCCGCTCCCCTTCCCCTTTCCCCTTCTATCTCCTCCCTTCTCCCCTCTCTTACATCCCCCATCCTCCTACTCTCTCCCCTCTACCCTTCCTTCCTCTTCCACCTCCCCCATCCTCCTACTCTCTCCCTTCCATCTCCTCTCTTTTCTTCCCTCCCCCCTCCCCCCTCCCCTCTCCCCTCCCCCTCTCGCCTTCTCCTCTTATCCTAATTAGCCAAAGAGCGCGAGACACCTTGCACGTATACGGTTTAATATCTAAATTATATCTTAAATTATTATCTCTATCTTCGTGGCGTCGGCGATTAGCTTCCTTGCGGCGCGCGTCCAACATTTTAATTCATCTTGCTGAACTTTTCTCTTCATATTCCTTTGTAATCTTGCTGTTCTCTTTTATAAGTTTTTTTCCCCCTCTTTGCTGTTAAAGAAGTGGCCGGAGCTATTTTTGTCTCTGTCTCTCTCTCTCTCTCTCTCTCTCTCTCTCTCTCTCTCCTCTCTCTCTCTCTCTCTCTCTCTCTCTCTCTCTCTTCTCTCTCTCTCTCTCTCTCTCTCTCTCTCTCTCTCTCTCTCTCTCTCTCTCTCTCTCTCTCTCTCTCTCTCTCTCTCTCTCTCTCTCTCTTCTCTCTCTCTCTCTCTCTCTCTTCTCTCTCTCTCTCTCTCTCGCAAAAAAAAGTATATAATGCAACACTTGTGCGTCGACGATTAGAATCCTTTCTGGATGTTGCAATTCCGCCGCGCATTTTGCAAAGCAGTTTTTCTCCTTTTCAGAGAGTGAAAAGATAAATGAAAATGTTCATCAAAGGATTCCGAGGATAGATACATAAAAGACATACGCCATTGAATATAAACTTTGTATATATGTAAACGAGTATAAGTAAATAAATACACGTAGACACATATTACCCTCTCCTCTCCCTCTCTCCCTCCCTCCCTCTCTCTTTATATATAAATATATATTTATATATGTATATAATAGCGCGCGCTTGCGTGCGTGTGTGCAAATATGTCTGTATGGACGAATACTGTACACAAATGAGTTACAAATAGACATTTAAACAATTTTTGTCATTCTAACGTGAAGTCATTGCTATTCTAAATTCAACCTCAACATCATCTGAGACATCCTAACGGCAAAGTCCATTCCAAACAAATTACAGATCTTGATATACTTGTCAGTCAACCGTGAAAAGCCGAAGATCAGATTTCTTAGAAATCGCAAGTAGAATGAATCAATACTTTAATCCTTCCGAACTCGCTATCACATCCCGAACAGCCTATATGACAAAAAAATAATCTTTAAAATCACGCAATAACACGTGAATAAGTAAATAAAACCACAATCCTTCAATAGAATAATAGAAAAAAAGACCGATCTTGGGAGGCCGTTGCTAGAGCGCCGTATAGCAACGTCTGTTTGCGCTCAGGTTGTTGTGGCTCGTAAACTAGACTCGAATGGAGACCGCCTGCAGAGTCGATACCTTGACAACGGTTCACTGTCTCTAACTCTCTCTCTCTCTCTCTTCCCTGCGTCTCAATCTTAATCTTTAGTTTCAATCTCTCTCTCCCTCTCTTTCTCTCTTTCTCTCTCTCTCCTCTCTTTCTATTTTCTCTTCTCTCTCTCTCTTTCTATTTTCTCTCTCTCTCTCTCTTTCTATTTTCTTTCTCTCTTTCTTTCTATTTTCTTCTTTCTCTCTCTATTTTCTCTCTCTCTCTCTATTTTCTTCCTCTTTCTCTCTCTTTTCTATTTCTCTCTCTCTTTCTATTTCTCTCTCTCTCTTCTATTTTCTCTCTCTCTTTATTCTCTCTTCTATTTTCTCTCTCTCTCTCTTTCTTTCTCTCTCTCTCTCTCTCTCTCTCTCTTTCTCTCTCTCTCTCTCTCTCTCTCTCTCTCTCTCTCTCTCTCTCTCTCTCTCTCTCTCTCTCTCACAACTGCAGACGAGCAAAGGTTTTTTCACTTATCCTTACGTTACCTAACTGCTACATATGGAAACCAATTAATTGAATTTAAGAGCCAAAATAGGTTTCCTCCTCTCAAAAATTACTAATAAAAAGTCTCCTTTCACGAATCAAAACATAATTTCTCCCTGTCTCTGACTCTCATTCCTCTTCCCCCCTTCTTCCCTCCTCTTCTCTCATTCTCCCTCTCCTCCCTCCTTCCCTCTCGTCCTCTCTCTCTCTCTCTCCCCCATCTCCCGTACGTACACACATTACCGTACCGTACACACACACACAAGTCGCTGTTAGTTTTGGGCTTAATTAATGAGGATCAACAAGGAGTTGATATTTGAATACAAGTTGCGAGAGAGGGTATTGATCCAATTAAACGGCGGGCGCCATCGGTGACATAGCTTTGGAACACGGAATAAAGGCAGAAGAATGGAAATGACAATTGTAATGCGAGAGAAAAGAGAAAGAAAGGGAAAGAGAGTAAAGAGGAGAGAGGAAAGAAGGGGGGGAGAGGAGAAAAGAGAGAGAGAGGGGGGAAGAAATAGAATGAGGGATGGAGACAGACAGGCAGACAGACAGACCGAGAGAGAGAGAGAGAGAGAGAAGGAGAGAGAGAGAGAGAAGGAGAGATGGAGAAGGAGGAGGGAGGGAGGGAGGGAGGAGGGGGGAGGGAGGGAGGAGGGAGGGAGGGAGGGAGGGAGGGAGGAGGGAGGAGGAGGGAGGGAGGGAGGGAGGGAGGGAGAGAGAGAGAGAGAGAGAGAGAGAGAGAGAGAGAGAGAGAGAGAGAGAAATAAAGAGAAGCAATGCAATAGATAGAGGGAGAGGGAAAGAAGCCCTCTCCTTCCCTCCCCCAAATCCCTTCCCACCAGGGGGCTGAGATGAGAGCAGTAACGCCTTCCTAAGCCCCAATGGCCGCGTCGGGGGCTACTGCACCAGAACAATACCTGAACGCATGGTAGGGGGCAAGGAGGGAATTGGGTGGAGCAGTATGAGTATTAGGAAGGGGTGGAGGGAGGGGAATTAGGAGAGTGGAGACAGGGACTGGCGAGGGGGAGGTGGAGAAAGGCCTTGGGAGGGGGAGAGAGAGGGGAAGGGAAGGTACCCCCTCTAAGGCTATAGCACCCTCCTCCCCCGTCCACGAATTCCATCAATACAGAATACCAAAAGCCGATCTAAGACAAGCTGAAACGTTGCCTCGACTGCACAACAAGGACACAGAAAGCGAATATATGCCAAGTCGTTCCACCGGAATACCGCTCCACACCCTCCTAAAAAAATCATATACATACCTAAGAGAAAGAAAGGGAGGCGTGTCCCGTACGAGTAATGGAAAACAATGGCGTACTTTTAAACACGTGTACAAAGGGTGCAATGAGGAATACTTCGCGTTGCTGGGGAAAAACAATGGCCGCACACAGGGAGGGAAAATGACGGTGAATTAGTGGGCGAGGGCGAGTGCCATGGGGGCCGCCTGGTGGATGGCGCGGTTCGCAGATGTGGCACAACACCCCCTTTCCATTCCCCTGGCCCTCTCCTCGCCTTCCCCGTCCCTATCCTTTGATCCCCATTCTCTTCTCCTCTGTACCTATTCTCCTACTCTTTCCTATCCTTGATCCCCACTCTCTTCTCCTCTGTACCTATTCTCTACTTTCCCTCTCCTTTCTCCATTCTGTTATTTTCATCTCCTCGTCCTTCTCCTTCCTTCCTTCCGATCTCCTTGCGAAATCCCCCCCCCCCCCGCCCACCCTGCCGTTCGACCCCGGAACAAGAGCCTCGAGGACTGACCTGTTGGCTTCCTCCAGCGCGGCGAGCAGCTTGAGGTCGTCGTCCGAAGGGTCTGGCTTGGTCCCCTCGGGGATGGTCGTGTTGTTGTTGTTGTTGTTGTTGAGAGCCACGTCGGGCACGCTCATGGCGGCGGCGAGGGCGTCGGGAGAGGGCGGGCCCCCAACGCTCGAGGCTGAGCTCTTCCTGGAGGAGCAGATACTTGACGTCGAGCTCTTCCTTGAGGAGCAGAAGCTGGAGCCGAGCTTTGGCGGCTGCTGCTCCTGCTGGCGCTACTGGTGCCCGACGCTCCACCGGAGTACCCGCTGTCGCTTTCACATCTGCAACAGACAAACAATAAACGTCAGTTCAAGAGAGAAACTGCAAAGGGACGAAGGGAAATGTATATACCACAAGCAAACAAACCTAAACGATCCTCCCATTTTCTATAACAGTCAACTGATTGTCACATTTGCAATGTTTACCCTCGTCGATGACGACACCAAATGCAAACATTCCCCTCAACCCTCCCCCTCCCCCCCCCCCACCCCTTTCCCCACAGCATAACATGCAAAGCTACGCACAGTACACGTCCCAGCCACAGCCTCCGTGACCCGATGACCTAGCATGCAAGCTAAATATTATGCGATCTTGACCTCGTTCCTCGTCTGGACCTGTTTATACAAGGTGCACCAGGTCAAAATGAATGGATCAAAAGAATGTTAAAAGGAAAATGATAATGATAATGATATCACTGATTCAATCCCTGATAGACAGAGAGTGAGAGGAGCGAGAGAGAGAGGAGAGGGAGAGGGAGAGGGAGAGGAGAGGGAAGAGAGGGAGAGAGAGAGGAGAAGGAGAGAGGGAGAGAGAGAGAGAGAGAGAGAGAGAGAGAGAGAGAGAGAGAGAGAGAGAGAGAGAGAGAGAGAGGAGAGAGAGAGAGAGAGAGGGAGAGAGGAGGGGAAGAGGAGAAAAGAGGAAGGGAGGGGGGAAGGAGGAGAAGGGAGGAAAAGAAAAATAAGACAAAACACAGAAAGAGAAAGAAAACGAAACAGAACAACAAAGACAAATCTAAAAAAAGTCAACAAAGCGAAAGTGCGAATCAAAAAGCGAGAAAAAAAAAAAAAATCAATGCTCGCCCGCCCACCCTCGCGCACGCACTCCCGCCCCCTTAACGAGCCAGCACGCGCTCTCAAAGACCTCGCCAGCCTCTCCAGCAGCCCTCGAGGAGTACGCCCTATCCCACGCCCACGCCCTTTCCTATGCGAGTCCCTCCTACGCCCACACGCCCGCTATGAATAGAGCGTGTACGATTTTTTTTTTTTACACTTGAGACTACGATTACGCTCGGGGAAATAATTCTGAATGGTTGTTAAAGAATACTAAAAGAAAGGTGTATCTTTGAGGATTATTTTAACGATTCCAACGCCGGTAACGATACCACTCTAGCCTTTCATCTCACCCTACGTGCTACCTTTGCTGACGCCACCATCCCATCGCCATAATTAATACCAATAGCCATATTATTCATCATCATCATCATCATCATTGCCATCATCATATTTGTTATTACCATCACCTTCATCAATCCCCTTGCTATCTTCATCCTAATCACCATCTTCCTTCTCATCATGATCACATCACAATCTTTCCCCTCACCATCATTATCAAAATCACCATCACCACCACCATCACCTCTACCACCACCACACCATCCACCCTCACCACCACACCACCGTCACAATCACCCTCACCACCACCACCCCACCACCACCACCACCATCACCACCATCCACCACCATCACCACCACCACCATCACCATTCACCACCATCACCACCACCATCCTCAGCCCACCAAACCCCGCTAAAGAGGGAAAAAGCTCATCTTTACAGAGCAGGGACGTAATTGACGTGTTCGATGTTACACCTCCATCAGAATTACGCAAAACCAACGGGCGAATACGTAAAATAACGCGTCTTCTACATCCCTTGCTGTGTGAAATGATTAACTTTCAACCCCATTCGTACTTTTTGTTATAAATTCTTCGCCATCCGGCCTCAACCAATCAACAATTTGTAGGCCTACCACCCATATCCACGCCCATACAACGTAAAGGAAGACCACATAAAAAAGAAAAAGAAAACAAATCAAACTACACCTTCGATTATATACAAACAAAGAAAAGAAAAAATAAGAAAAAAAACAGATCCAAATAGCCTCACCCGCCCCGTCCACCTAAAACCCCCACCATTGTTTCGCATGACGTTGCCCCCCCCCCCCCCCAGCAACACTCCCCCCCCTCCCCTTCCTTCTCCTCTCACTGGCGGCGACTGGAATGCTGTCTGTAATCCCCTGGGAACGCGTGTCAGTCAAGGAAGGGCGCACTAGCCTGGAATGCCACCGATAAATGGGGGGGAGGGGGAGGGGGAAGGATTAGGATAAGGAAGGATGAGGAAGAAGGAAAAGGAAGGAGAAGGAAGTAGTAGAAGGGTGAGGATGAGCAGACGGAGAAGCGTGAGGATGAGGATGAGGAAGGAGGAGAGGGAGGAGGGGGAAGGGTGAGAATGAGGAGGCGGAGAAAGGGGAAGGAAGAGGAAGGAGGAGAGGGGGAAGGGTGAGAATGAGGAGGCAGGAGGATGGGAGATGGAAGAGAAGATTTAGGAGAAAGAAGACGAACGAGGAAGAAGAAGAAAAAGATGAAAAGCAGAGGAGTAAGCGAAAGTACTGTTGATAACCGGCGGATGACAGAAAAGGAAAAATCAGGGAAAATATAAGAGAAATAAAGTCGATTAAAAATTTACGGTATTCCATATTCGAACCGAACCAATGCGAAATCCCCAATCAATGCTCGGATTCAAAACGAAACCCAAACACATCCAATCAAAAAAGAAAAAAAAAAAAAAAAAAAAAAGCGAAACTGTAAATCACAAAAAAATCCTTAATTGTGCCAAGGATTGAAAATATAAACAATACCCTCGCCCTCCCCGTCGCCATTAATTACACAACAGCGGATGGATTTTCGTTGTAAGCGCGCTCCCGAAAAAAAAAAAATAAAAATAAAATGAAAACACACATGTATATATATAAATACACATCAGAATCTTTCCTCCAACTGCGATGGAATACTGCAGTCTAACCTCAACCTATATTCAGACCCAAAAAGATTAACTTATTGGATGGAAACTAGCAAAGCATGGGAAGGGGTGAGGTGGGTTTTTTATAAGGAAGAGAGAGAGAGAGAGAGAGAGAGAGAGAGAGAGAGAGAGAAGAGAGAGAGAGAGAGAGAGAGAGAGGAGAGAGAGAGAGAGAGAAGAGAGAGAGAGGAGGGGGGGGGGAGAGAGATAGAGAAAGAAAAAGAGAAGAGAGAAAAAAGACGAGAGAGAGAAAGAACAAGAAGAGAGAATAGAGATAAAGAAAAAAGAAAAAACAGAGAAGAAGAGAGAGAGGGGGGAGAGAATCATTTACCACCATCGACTACCCCACCCCCCAAAGACCCCAAACCTAGGCCTACTCGCACATAGGCCTACAAAATTACAGGATCACAGTCAAGGGAAGGTGAAGCCTCGTTCTCGGTCGCTCTCGAAAAAAAAAATCTGTTTACAAGAGAATGTAAACTTATCCTTCGCCGTGATTGAAGGGGAGCCTCACACGCCCTGCGAGGTTTAGTTTCTTGTAGTGTGTGTATATTGCGTGTGTGTGCGTGTGCGTGTGCGTGTGCGTGTGCGTGTGCGTGTGTGTGTGTGTGTGTGTGTGTGTGTGTGTGATGTGTGTGGTGTGTGTGTGTGTGTGTGTGTGAGTGTGTGTGAGTGAGTGAGTGAGTGATGTGAGTGAGTGAAGTGAGTGAGTGAGTGAGTGAGAGAGAGAGAGAGAGAGAGAGAGAGAGAGAGAGAGAGAGAGAGAGAGAGGAGAGAGAGAGAGAGGAGAGAGAGTGTGTGTGAATGTGTAAGTATGTAAGTATGTGAGTGTGTGTGTGTGGAGTGTGGTAGTGTGTGAGTGAGAGGGAGTTGTGTGTGTTTATATATATACATTTATAATATAATTGTTGGGTGAAGGAGGCCTGGAGGGATTGAGTAAGGTATGTGCGCGCGGTGTTTCTTTACTTCTATCAATTCAATTATCTAATAATTTGCCTTTATTTATTTATATCATCATTAATTTTTCTATAATTTTCCAAGGATTCATTCTTTCTATCTTAATTTCTATTCCATCTTTATATCTATGTTTTTTTCTTATTCTCATTTGTATTCATCATCATTTTACATCTACTCCATGTCTTATCATCATCATCAGTCTGTGTATCTGCACGTGAGGAATGCTCGTATACGTCCCCGTGCGTGTTAAGCATATCCGAGAAATTAAACGTAATAAACCTATCACGTATCGAGTAAAAAATATATATATATCCATCAGCGCACAGTCCATCACACTCGCCTGAACGCCGCCATCCCACCCGAGTCCACTTCCTCCCTCCACCCGAGTCCACTTCCCCCGCCTTCAGAACACAGAGTCCGAAGTCACGATGACACGGTCCACGACGCACACGCTCTCCGGCCGACTGCCACCGGCGCGGCGGACACGAACACCGCCGACGCCTCGCGAGAAATTTTAGGGGTTCGAGACGAAGACTTGCGGCGGCGGGATGATAATGCCAATAATGATAATGATGATGATAATAATCAATCATCATGACAATAATCATAATCACCATGACAATAATCATAATCATCATCATGGCAATAATCATAATAATAATAATCATCATCATAATCATAATAATAATTTTAAAAAAATAATAAAAATTATAAAAAAAAATTAAATGATAAAAAATAACAACAACAATAATAATAACAAAATAAAAAAATAATAATACCAATAATGCTGATAATGACAAGAAGGGTAAGAATAGCGCAATTTCTGCCCTCGCTGACAAGATCACAGGCGTCCCTCCGAAGCCTGTCGTGTGGCGGAAGATGAAGACGCCATGGCAAGACATCCTTTGGGGCGTCATGTCAATATTTTTTTTTTCTTGTCTTGGAGGAGTGAAGAGAGGGGAAGGCGGGGAGGAAGGACTGGCGGAGGGGAGGGGGAGAGGAGGAGAGGAGGAGGTGGAGGAGGAAAAGAAGAAGTAGGAGAAAAAGAAGAAGAAGGGGGAAGAAGGTAAGTAAGAAGCGGAGTAGGAGAAGAAAAAAGGGGAGAGGAAGTAAGAAAGTAGTAGGAGAAGAAAAAGAGAGAGAAGAGACGAAAGTAAGTACATAATAGGGCAGCACTTCAATATAAAGATGGATGAAGATAAAGAAATAAAAAAATAAAAATAAAATAATAAATAAATAAAAAATTAT